GAGGATCATCGTGGTGTGAATGTAACAATTAAACAGCATTTGGATTCATTTGGAACTTGTCAACTACAGTAGCTTGCTAGAATTGTTTGATGATTGTTTCTGGTCGCGTGTCGCGGGTAAAAAGTCGCGGGTGCGCCTATAATGTCGCGGGTCGTAAAAAAGCTCTAAACCGTGTATTTTATTGAGTCGCGGGTTGAATAAAGTGTGTAAAAATCACATCATTTAGTTATTTAATGGTTTTTATCAATAGTATTATTCAATATTAACGTATATAATGCAATGCATATTGTTTGGATCATTTTTTGTCTCAACGTACCGTAGTTTTCTCTCTATAAATTCGAGGGTCAAGAGTTAAATTTAATACTCCAGTACTCTTCGATATCCTGTCCTATGCATCCTATGGTATTACGTTACATTTGTAATGTCTGTACACAAAGAATGCGTTTATTCATTTCCACCTTTTTAATTCATTCGGAAGAATTTGCATTTACAATTATAATATTTGCAATTATAATATTTGCAATTCCGTTGTGTAATACGTTCAGTAGGAGTCAAGTTAAATGTTTATCCTGTTGTCATACCACAGAACGGCTGATGTTATGTTACGTATTTTCTGAATTAAAACCACCCTTTACTTTATACCACAATGAACTTATTATATTACCAACGAATGTTCGAAGATGTTATGGCTGCAATTGCGAGTTTGTAGATGAAATATAGACAAGAACCATATAACATCATAAAGCACGTTGATAGACGGATAGTGCAAAAGGATCTTGTTACACATCATGTTTATAGTCTTGATTTTAGTAATACATATTACCATCCAATTTCTTACCATATTGGGCATATCAGGCGTAAAAATCCGCTATTCAGTGGCTCAGTGCGCGTTGTCGTCAAGTCTCTGCGCATCGATCAGTACTTTCCAGAAACAAGTGTTAGAGAACAACGACTTAAATATCCGGGTTGTTAGTTAATCATAATGTACTTTTATAATGTCATGCATGGATAGGCTATATCTATTATTTGTGATACTATATGGTTGTTTTTAAATTGGTATAAAACTGATTGTAATAGTAGTGGTAAACTGAATTTATTTCTACCAAAGTCTTGTTTGTTTCTTTCAGAACATATTTTTGATTAGAGGATTTTTGTCATGGTATAATTGTTGGTTTAACATTTATTCTTTCATGTTTTAGGCTTCTGGCACGTTTGTATAGAAATCATGACAAAAGGCTCTTGGGCAATGTTTCGTATTGAAGCAATCCTATATAGTTGTTTACTAAATGATAACGTGATTTTTACACACTTTATTCAACCCGCGACTCAATAAAATACACGGTTTGGAGCTTTTTTACGACCCGCGACTTTTTACCCGCGATCCGCGACATTTTACCCGCGACACGCGACTTTTTACACGCGACCCGCGAACATTAGTCAAACTCTAACGAGATTATTCAAGCATTCGTTCTTACGTCATGCACTCAAGTGATGCGACCTAAAATAACCTTCGCCAAGGGCTACTCACAGCAATACAGCACACACGAACCGCAAGAAACAAAACCCCGAGCCCCCTACTAGTCCAGCAACTCGCACACGCGAAAGAGAGGCTTCTCTGCCTCGTACCCAGGCGCTTTGAACAACACGTAGCACCTGGGTACGAGGCTGGAGCCTTCAAGTATCGCGACAGAAATTTGCCCTAGCCGTCAACACGCGTAGGCGTTGTTGTTTTTCTGTGGTCGCCAGGCCGGTCAACACCGGCTGCATGCGCCGAATTTAGCGCCTCGCTGCGGAAAACCGTTTATGGGGGAAATTCAGAGCGTGCACTAACTGGCAATTGTAGTTGCTTACATGAAGCAGGCATTGCCACAGTCTACACTAATTTGCAACAATTTTCAGACTTTGCGCATTAAAACATACGTAATGAACAAGGCGATTATGTGTAATAACAGGGATTTGCTATTTCTAGCCTTTGCATAAAATTTGAGATTTTCCAAACTACGTTAACAGATGTATCAGTTGGTTGTTCTTCAGCTTTATTTAAATGCTATAAAAACACTTTGGTGCAAGACATGTCGTAACACGATCATAAGTTCAAATACTACAAATTTCAGCATACTTCGAATTAAACGCTGAGCAATTGAAATGCGGGCGGTGAAATTGTTCCGATTGGAAGGGAATACTATCGAAATCAATTAAAAAGTTCCCGAATTCGTTCTAATTAGATAGATGAATACATTCGGCTCAAATTCGAAAGATATTTTATGCATGACAAATTCAATTTCCTGTTTTATTTGTTTACGACGACAGCGATAAAATTGCTAATATTGCATGACCATATAGTATATCTATATGTGCATGATCGAGCGATTTTTTAAGACATGCATGTAGCCTGTAGCCTTCGGGTGTCCTCAAGGTGATATGTATAGAGTATTTTGCAAATGAGAAATAAAAGAATGGTCTGCTGTTTTGTCGCGCTCCAGCGAGATTGAAACGCAATGAATAATGCAAATTGTAAATATGTTTCACTAATTAAAGCATCGTGTGATTTTGGATTACGTAACAAGAAGAGGATTTAAATTTCAAAATCTGAGTGCACACTTAAAATCAGTTGTATATCTTGTCAGCAAGTTGTAACAATGGCGATGTTCGTTAAAAGGTTTGAATCCAGGTTCATTCATTTTTTGTTTGTTTTATTGTTCTTCTAGATTATTACAAAATTAAATAGTTTTGTCTGACGTTTCGGTAGCTGACGCAAGATAAACATCAACGGATAAAATAAACAAACGTTCAAGTCTTCGAAAATGATTTTCGTATAGGAAACCGAGACGTCAGACAAAACTATTTAATTTTGTAATAATCTAGAAGAACAATAAAACAAACAAAAAATGGCGATGTTGCTATTTCACTATTACTTGCTACAACAAGCTTGGCGTTCAGATTGTTAACATGTTGTAACAACTTACAAATGTAAATGTCTATGTCCAGCACAGTGCCAGTAGCCCAACCACTATGCCAATAGAGAGGTTAAGATACCCCGGTTTTGGTATGAGTATCGCATTTTGTTTATCAATTTTGCTGATGTCAGCATTTTTACCCGTAATTTCTACCCGTTTCCCCGCGCTTACAAGTAAAAGACAAACGGGTACGGGTGATTTTTGTTTACTATTTGTGGGCAGTTTAAATAGCAAAAATTCTTAACATCTTACCCAAATAAATAATGCACATGTGCTTGTCAAACTTTTCAACAATCTATGGCGAACCTCGATAGCGAAGGTTAGCATTCTCTGATCGGTTTTCTCACGCCGGAATATCTTGGATTTCTTAAGTTACAAGTCGTTAATTCCCCGATTTACGGTTACGTTGCAGTGTATCACCCGTACCCCATACTACCGACAGCATATTACCCCTAAACCAGGGTATCTTAACCTCTCTAATAGGAAATATATAACACATGGTCACCGCAACAGTTTACATTAATTACAATACTCCGATTGGAGTAAAACACAGTATATAGTCAAGACACGGCATACATTTATTGTACATATACAAAGTACAAACACAATCTATAATTTTAATTTGATTATATATTCTAAACAAAAAACTTACATTTTCAAGTTTTATAACATTTTAGTCTTTTTATAATATTTCTATAATGTTAATGTTCTACTAGTCTTTTTAATTCAGTTTATCAAAACATTTTTATTTTATCAAAATTGCAGTACCGTAAAAATTGTTATTATTTGTTCTAAACCAATATATTCAAAATTAATTAAAGGGATATGACAATATAAATTAAGTTTATCTTATTTGAAAAAATATTTAAAATTATATATAAACTTCCTTTACAATTATTCCGTATCTTGCTTGGCTTCGAAATAAATCGACTTACTTTGATGAAAACCAGCGTGCATTTTGCCATCTTGGATGTGCATTCAATATGCATACGTCACTAGTATAGTGGCAATTGATACACCAGGCGGAAATCTTAGTTTAAAGATAAAGAGCAGAACCCAGCAAATAACTTTAAAACCAAACATAATAAAAGTAAAATTTTTAATTAGCTAACGTTTCGTTGTTTACAATACAACATCTTCAGAGCAATCTAAATGAATTTACAGGGTATGGTATGTATATTTACAAAATAATGGTTTAATATTACAAGAAACGGTTACATAGTTTGAAAGAACAAATGAATAGAAAGAAAGGAAAACAACTTATCAGTAACTAGTTAATAAGTAAAGATTATTAATGTTAAGTGCATGGTTAGTATAGACTGTATAGTTAAGGTTATTAACCTTAACTATACTAACCATGCACTTAACATTAATCTTTACTTATTAACCAGTTACTGATAAGTTGTTTTCCTTTCTTTCTACTCATTTGTTCTTTCAAACTATGTAACCGTTTTTTTGTAATATTAAACCATTATTTTGTAAATATATATACCATACCCTGTAAATTCATTTAGATTGCTCTAAAGATGTTGTATTGTAAACAACGAAACGTTAGCTAATAAAAATTTTACTTTTATTATGTTTGGTTTTAAAGTTATTTGCTGGGTTCTGCTCACTAGTATAGGGTAAAGAGCGAAATGTTTATCTTTGGAAACCACATGTCATTTTCAATATAAAACTCGATTTTCCGAAGTCTTTTTAGTACTCAATTAACTCACAACATTTTAAGAAATTTTTCGAAGAAATTTAGTAGAAAACTCAGTTAATTAGGTCAATTATAATTTTAATATGGCGGCCGGACTGCGCACTGGTTTTGGTCAAAACATTTCGAAAACCAAGCAAGGTACGAAAAAGTTGTAAAGGGTCTTCATATATAACTTTAAAAGTTCTTTCAAATAAGACAAGGTTAATCTTTATTGTCTTATCCCTTTAGAGACTAAAATTTGCCATTATTGCGATATTCACTACAACTTACTTTTTAATTAAAGACTAATTTAATAATTACTTTGTACATTGGATACATCATGTGGCTATGTTTGTAGTCTACAGAGGCATTGGGTTTTTTTGTGCCATCAAACTTTCTTGCTGGGGCACGCCTATTCTTGATAAATGCCTAGCATTTTGCTCTGGTATGAGAACACTGGAACCAGCTCTGGAGTTGGCACATCTTGAAACAGCCATCAAACTTTCTTGCTCTGGCACGCCTATTCTTGATGAATGCCTAGCATTTTGTTCTGGTATGAGAACACTGGAACCAGCTCTGGAGTTGGCACATCTTGGAACAGCCATCAAGCTTTCTTGCTGGGGCACGCCTATTCTTGATGAATGCCTAGCATTTTGTTCTGGTATGAGAACACTGGAACCAGCTCTGGAGTTGGCACATCTTGAAACAGCCATCAAGCTTTCTTGCTGGGGCACGCCTATTCTTGATGAATGCCTAGCATTTTGTTCTGGTATGAGAACACTGGAACCAGCTCTGGAGTTGGCACATCTTGAAACAGCCATCAAGCTTTCTTGCTGGGGCACGCCTATTCTTGATGAATGCCTAGCATTTTGTTCCGGTATGAGAACACTGGAACCACCTCTGGAGTTGGCACATCTTGGAACAGCTTGGTTGTCGTTGATATCTGTTGCATCATCGTTGGTATCTGATGCATCATTGCCATTATTGGTAAAATTATCTGACATTTTTAAAACCTGGAACTAAATAAATATAGTTATTGTGGGAGGCCTCACCGATGGTACGGTTGGTACGATATCGTTACGGTTCGTGAAAGTAAGTTTACTGTTCCGTTAAATGTTCAAATTGTTGCAAAAGTCGATATATATTTTGATACGTATTGAAGGCTATATAATATATATGTATAGCTTAAAGCGATTAGCTAACAGTATTAATATTTTATAAGCCACTCCCAATTAGACTTTAGTTTCCCGTCCTCCGCCCGCGCCTCCCAGAACTGGCCGCATGATTTGTCCATTTGCTAACTTGTTTCCATTATTTGACCTTTATGACTGAAAATAACGAAAATCCACAGTTGTCAAATAATCTATCGTTCAAGAAATACATATTTATGATACAATACGTAAAAATCGAACTAAAATTGTTGAAACTTTCATGAAAGAGCGTGAACATGTATGTATGTATGTATGAATTGTTTTTGTTCGTTTTTACTACAGTAACCGCTGAGCCGGCAACTTGTGTTACACGTTTTGATTTTCGAACCTAATAAAAGGATAAGACAATTAACGTAGAAACGTTACAGAATGAAAGTGTTTCTATTTCATGGAATAACGAATGGCCATGGTCGTATCAGATTCTTTCAGACACAATAACGGATTTTCCAGAGCGGGGGGAGGGGGGTTTAGCCTGCCTCGTCTCTTCAGTTTCGAATAGAGATCAGTGGGAGAACAATGGGCGCGCGGGGCTAATGGGAATGCGACCGCGCACGGCTGAGGGACTGTGGAAGAGTCAGGGGTTTAGCAGCATTAGGAATAGTTTGCGTGCGAAATTTAAAGGTTTAAAACGCATTTTGGGTTCAGTTATCAATGGTCCAAATACCAGAAATTTTACTCAGTTTTAAGTCCTCTAAATAGCTGCTGAAACGTTCATTTTTTAGCACCAATGCCTTTCACGCATGCTTAATTCACGCATTTACCTCATTTTCATATTGTTATTGTAAAAAAAGTAAAACAACAATACACAAATTAGGTAAACAAATTAACAAATTTCTCGCTCATGAACTCAAAATGCGTTTTAAACTTTTAAATTTCCCGCGCAAGCTATTTTTAATGCTGCTAAAAAGACGCGCGCCCCCTTCTCTGCTCTGGAAAATTTACTTTACGAAAAATGTTTGTTTATTCTACATTACAAGTACCCAAACTATCTGGATTTATCAAATATTTCATGAAATGAACGGATTTGTGGGGAATGGACCTTTTTAAAAAGTCTGCCTTGTGACGTAGTTTGCGGTCTCAGTTTGCGGATAAAGCTCTAAAGGAAAACCCCGCACAGCCATTTGGCTTGCCTGATTAGCCAAATGATCGTATTTATGAAAGCCGTTTCAATAATGTCTACTTTTTTTATACACCCTGTATATATCATGAGATAATGTATATATATTAAAGGTTATATACATATAGACACAGTTTCTAGTTCTGTCATGCTAGTATTCTTTGAGTCTTCGTTTGTATTCGTTTTGAACACTATAATTGTATATTATTTAATGATTATATAATGTTTGTCTTTCTGAAACGATAGAAAACTCTATTTCACCATTGGTACGAAATGTATCGATGGTAGAAATAATACCAGACCGTTCGGTATCAAATTTACCGATCGCAAAACACCTTTATACCATCCGTTACATATCGTAATATTGGAGCATTCTCCGTATGCGCATACGGACATACGGAGACGTAAAATATATTAAAACTGGGCTAAAAATATAATCTTACCTTGCATATGGCAGTTTACAAATGTGTCTTCAATCTTTGTATGCAATATTTCGTTTCTGTGCTGAGGATCTTCGCTGTGAGAAGAATACATAGTGTGAGGCTCGGCTGAGAGAGAATGTCGAGAGAGAAGTCTATTTAGTAAAATCGGGTATCGGGGTATGAAAATATGGAAAATCGAGAGAACCCTATTTCACCGCTGGTATACGAAATGTACTGATGGAAGAAATAATACCGGACCGTTCGACATCGAATTTAGAGGCCTCCGAATTTATCGATCGTAAAACACTTTTACCATCCGTTACATATCGTAATATTCTCTAATATTGGACAAGTGTCGGAGGTGGTATCTTATCGTATCTCTTACCTTGCCGAGATAACCTCCCCTTACAGATGTATTTCGTTGGGTGAGTTTGTCGGGGAGAGACGGGGAGAGTCTTGTCGGGAGGAGAGTCGTCGGGAGATCGGTCTTTGCATGTATATATATATGTGGATTGTCCGAGTCCGGAGACGATATTGATTGTATGTCTAAGTTAGCGAAGCGTAAGATTGTCAAAAAACGTGTCTAAGTGGAGATCTAAGTGTGTCTCTAAGTGGAGATGTCCTCTAAGTGTACTTGAAAATATGAGATATATAGTGTTTCCTTGTCTTCCTTGTCTCCTTCCTTGAAGAGCCTTCCTTGAAGACATTATTCAGTTCATTATTCAGAGTACTTTAAAATTCGAGAATGGGTCAATCCAGACTTCAGTTACTTAAGGGTTATAATTTACATTGATGAGGTCAAAATGATTCATAGCTAATAATAAAAGATTTTAATGTAACTTAATAATAGATATTTATGATTTAGGGATCAAAACCGTGAAGTCTTTAGGATAAAGAGTATGATCAAGACATGCAATATGCACAAAAGAATAATTTTTCAAAATGATTATAGTTCAGAGGTTTTTTTATATTATTTTCATTGCGAAGGGGAGGAGAAGTGTCAAGGGGAGAGGAAACATAAATCTCAAATCTCTGGTTGTCGTTGAAAGCGGTAATTGATTCATTGAGCCGCGAGCGGCAATCAGTTTGAATTAGGGTCAGATCCTGACTCTGTCTCCTGATTGGATGATTGTATTAAAACTCTCTGATTGTATCAAAGCTCTCAATTGAACCAATCAGGGAGCTTTAATACAATCACCCAATCAGGAGACAGGGTCAGGATCTGACCCTAATTCAAACTAATTGGCGCGGCTCAATGAATCAATTGCCGCTTTCAACTAGAGGTTTATTTTTCCTTTCCCCTTCGCAAAAAAAATAATATAAATAAACCTCTGGAATCAGGGTAAGTTTACTGTAATTAAGAAAGTGATTTTTATTATTCATGAATCAGAAATTAAGATGTGTTGTATTTTTAAAAATGTAGTTGTGATTATTTCATGAACACAATATAATATATCTGGTCATCTAGACAACTTGCTTTGTTTACATTTTGTCGATGTTGCAAGCAGGCAGGCAAAACTTGATTCACGAATTTATTCAAATATCAACTTTTTCATGAATACTTATCAATCACAATAAAAAACAAGTTCACTTTGCCTTCGGAGTTTCTCTTTTTAAGAGAAATGGATACGGCAATATATTTTTTTTATTATTTCATTTGGAAGAACTTTTGAAATTATATGTAAATCTCTTTTACCGATTTTGCGTAACTTTATTATTTCTTGAGATATTTGAACAGAAAAAATCACAAAATCAGCGAGCTTTTCGACATCTCAGCTTTTCGCCATCTTGGATTTTGGCGGATATGCTCATATGCATGTGAGATGTCATGCATGTGACATTATATACTATACATTATATATACAAAATTATATACTTCAGTAACTATTTGAAATAAAAAATTGTCTAACGACTTTTCAAACAAGACTTAATGTTATTTGGTCATTTAGATGTAGTTTTATATGGCTAACCCTGCTTATGACGTCACTAAAATCACCGATAATGAGATAAAAATTAATCCAAGATGGCGGACAGCAAATTATTTTAAGTCAAAATATTTCAAGAAATAATAAAGTTACGCAAAATCTGTAAAGGAGATTAACATATAATTTTAAAAGTTCTTTAAAATGAAATAATAAAAAAATATATTGCCGTATCCCTTTAAATCATATAAACCCGTATTTACCCACCTTTTGACAAATTTACGGGGACATCCTGACGCGGCTATAGTTAAACGCCCAAATTCAAAGCAAACCGGCGCCTCTATTGATCCTGGACGAGGTGTTTGAGGTTGCTCACAATAATTTCCAATCTGTCCGAGGTGTCATCTGACCTGCAATGGCAAAGCGAATAGATTCTCCTTGCTTAGGTAGTTACGAACAGCCTACAGTTCTTTGCCGTTTTGTCCCGATATTTCTGTATATAAATCTTGATAGATAATCATCAGCGTAGTATCGTGTTTGACCTCCACACTCAGCCATAAAATTAGTCTCTCGCCCAATCTGCCTGTTAGTTGGAGGTAATTGGATGACCGGTTAATTAAATGGTTAAAATTCAATCGAAATATCGAAGAAATTTCAAGAAGCAGCCAATTTATACTCGATTTTATCAAGGAACTATTGTAAATCACTACTCTCCTCCGCAGAGGCTTTTTTTTTTGTTTTTTTGGCTGGCCAAGTAAGTAGCAGGTGGAAGGCAACGGGCGGGATTGGGGACATCTCGGATTGGGCGGGTGCGGCTTGAGAGAAAAATTACATTTCTCAACCCGCGCCCGCCCGAATCCCGCCCGCATCTACTTGGCCAGCCAAAAAAACCTCTGCGGAGGACAGAGAGTGGTAAATAACTAAATCATATGTATTTTGTTTTGACGTGTTCCCGAAATGACGTCACGCCGGCGCTGAAAGAGGCATTCTCACCTCAGTACGTTAATGCTTCTTTGACTTCTTTTGACGAATGTTTTGTTGGTGTTTTTGTCCTGAAAAGTGGTGAAGGGATCGAGGAGTTGATTTACACACACTTGAATTCATTTGGGCAAAAGAATAGGCTTCGTTATGGACTTATGGTAATGATTCGTACTCTTGGTTCACCGACTTTGCTCTGAGTATTTGATGCAGGGACGTCGCTATAGGGGGGGGGGGGGGGGTGTAACACCTCCCCCCCCAATAATTCAAACGTTGGTCCAAAGTTGGTCAAAATAAAACACGTATTTGCCCAAAGTTGGTCAAAATGGAACTGATATTTGCTTAAAATTGAAGGTAAAACTCGGAAAAATTTGGCCAAAGTTTGGGATAAAAGATGGTCGAAGTTGCTGAAAGTTATGAAATTGTTGGCAATTTTAACAATTTTAAAATTTTTTTTTAATTTTATTTGTTATCTTTGCAGTGAAAAAATTGGAAGTCTTGCTTATCCTGGTCGAAAAAAAGTTGTACTACTTGGTCAAAATCCTAGGAAATGTTGGTCAAAACATGACGACCCCTAATGTTGTTAAACTGCGACGTCCCTGATTTGATGGCATATGGTGTCCTTGGTCTATTATTATATTGGAGTGTTATTATTGAAAAGAAATTCAGGCGCAAAAGACTGATAAGCATACACGTATGTTACAACTGTGTTTGTGCAATATTTGGGATTTTTAGTTGAATTGTAAATGTATAGTGAATCATCCTGGTGTGAATGTAACAATTAAACAGCATTTGGATTCATTTGGAACTCGACAACTACAGTAGTTTGATAGAATTGTTTGATGATTACCTCCACCAGGAGGTTATGTAATCATCTGGGTGTGTGTGTTTATTTGTGAGCAAGATAACTCAAAAAATACCAACCATATTCATACGAAATTTTTTGAATGCATTCCCCATCGGCCAAGGAAGAATTGATTAAAATTTGGTTAAAAATTGAACGAGAAATGAACAAAAGTTTGTCTTGCTTTTCCCGATCAATTAAAAAAATTCACTGAATGCGTAATTAGGACGTGTATAATTTATGCACGCAGTATACAGGGTATGTAAAGGTTGTATAATAATGTAATTAATGGTATCTTTTTAAATTGTATACAATTATAAATCTCACTTATATAAGGGAGGCTGCTTACAAATAATTATATTCTAATTTCTTAATAATAATAATAATAATAATAGGTCAATAGTTAAGTATATACACGCTGGCAATATTTTAGGTACGTTTTATACGCCGAATTTCGGTCGCGTCGAATGCGACTAGGACAATAGTCAACAGATGATGAGATGATAAACCTCATTAAAAAACTCATTAATAATTCAGGAGCAAAACACAAAGAAAAATGTAGTCGTGCACTTGTAGTCGTGTTTTATCACATATAAAACACTCCGCTACGCGTCGTGTTTTATATGTGATAAAACACTCCTACGCGTGCTTTAAATAGTACTTAAACTCCAGCCTTCATTATCTATTGTCTTAGTTGCATTTCACGCGACCGAAATTAAATGTCTAAGGCCCCGTTTACACTATACCGGATTGCTATCGGAGTGGGTCAAATTTTGTAGATATCGAAAGTCTGTGAAGATTTTTAATCTCAGAGACCCAAATAAACATGCCAATTCTGTCAAACTAATGAGATGTCAAACTAATAAGCATTTGCTACTAACCATTGCTCCGTAACGGCAAAAGAAGATGTCGTGACCAGCGAATCCGGTATAGTGTAAACGAGGCCTAAAGCCTGTTGTTTGGTAGGGCATTCAAATTTAACAATAAGTGATTTCAATAGTTTTCGTTTTTTTTGGGACACCTTGTAGTTCCACACTAATGCTCAAACAAAGAAATACGCTTCGGTACGATACGGTTGAAGTGGAAAACTGGCTTAATTAAAACAAGGCTTACGGAGTTACGCATCATTGCGTTCAGCAAGGTGCTAGGCCATTCAAATTCTAATTAAACAATAGATTACTTAAATAGATTGCGCTTTTTTCACTTCCGAGTTTCTGAGTGCTCTTTAGTTGTTTCTGTTACACTATTATCTTTACAACTTTGCCAGAATCATTGGTGTTAGCCTTAAAAGTTTTTATTAGTCGTGTAACAATTATTATTATTATTATTATTAAAACTTTATTTAAAGAAGGTTAATTTACAAGGAAATATGCCAGTTTAGCTTTCGCTAATCTTCCACTGGACCTTCTATCAAATATATTTACATGCAGTACAATTTACATTTCTACAGACTACAGTATATACATAATTACATAAAGTACATATCGATATAGGTATAACAAATTAGAATTAACATACACTGTACATCTTACGAGTTATTTTTATACATATCCAAAAACAATTCATGGGCTTTACGCTTGAATGCTTGAAATGAGCTGGAAGATCTAATATCTGGTGGCAACATATTATAAAAATATGCTCCAGTGTACCGAAGTCCACTCCTGGTGATTGTAATAGACGTATGTAACAATAGCAGTATGTAGTAATATAAAACCATATAATGACAATGGTTAGTTTTATTAAAACTGGTAAATAAATTAATGATTACCAACTATTCCACACCTGTATATAAACAGCTTTTCAGACAATGAAGTACTCTTTTTAATTTACGAAAATCATTGTTATAATGGATAACTGAGTGTGCAACAATTAACAGTTGTATTTGAAGTTTAATTCTCAACCAGAAAAACTTTACTTTTTCAGAGGATTAGTAATTAAACCAAATTTTAGATTTATTGGTAAATTATGATATATTTTTATACATCTTTAACAATATCAGGACCGCCAAAAAGTAGGGATGTGGCATTTTGTCCAGCTCAAAAAGGGCCTCCAAAACACTCCCAAAACAACAAAGATAGCTGCATCAGTGCCGGATAATATGCAATAAAGTGTAATATATTGTAAAACACTTCTTCTCCCATTTTATAATTATGATATCATAAGGACCGCTGGGAAAACTTAATGACGTCATATAGTTCTCCTGGAAAAGTTTGGCCCCGGGCCAGCCCTGCACAACCTCTTCAACGGTGGCACAGAGTAAATCGCATTAAAAAATTATGCAAAAGGTAAAACGTGGATATGGCTTATAACGGAATGAAAAGCATTTTGAGAACCATATCCGCGTTTTATCTTTTTGGATAAAACGCCATATGACTGTTTAAATCATAGAGATTATAAATAACACTAGAGGAGGCATTGTAATCTTAATTCAGTACAAAAAAGGAACGCGACTATTGGGGGGCAAATTCAAGTCCCGGATGTGTATTCGTGTTCCCATTGGTGACAAGTTTCAAATCAGCCAATGAGAGCACGATTTTATATCCGGGACTTGAATTTGCCCCCCATTAACTGCGTTCCCAATTTTTAAACTCGATGCCTCCTCTAGTGTTATTTATAATCTCTATGGTTTAAATGACATTTAGCAAGAATATAAGTCATTCGTCCTTCCATCCACCGTCCGTCGGTATCGGCGTTTTATCCTAACTTAACAACTAGTAACAAATCTGTTGAAACAACATGCAAATGTCTATGTCCAGCTCACTAGCCCAACCTCTTGCAACGTTTATGCTTTGCCAGCGTAACACACCACTTTAGTTTTCTACTCCAATGCATCATTTTGTTTGCTACTGCATTGGACACACTCAGAGTAACTTCATCTCAAAATTAATAGAAAATATAACACAGATAATGCCGTCACTGCAACAGTTTGCATTAATTACTCCAACCGATAGGAGTATACTATTATGTTTTAGTTACATCAGTGGCGGCGGAACAGGGGGGCTAAGAGGGCTAAAGCCCCCCCCCCCAGAAGTAAAAGTGGGGGGCTAAGCCCCCTAGAAAATTTTGTTTTCTCTGGAAAAATTTTGATAATTAAGGAAAAATGTAGGTTATTTTTGGAAAATTTAGGTATAAGGGGAAAAATTTGCGATATTTTGTGTAAAAATCGAGTATGTCCGGAAAATTTTTTTGTTATAGGTCCGGAAAAATTTTTTTCATCCCTTTTCTTGTATATGTCCGGAAAAATTTTTCTACCCCTAAATTGGTACAATGTCCGGAAAAATTTTTCTACCCCTAAATTGGTACACTGACCGAAATTTTTTTGGCGACGGCGGGGGGGGGGGGGGGGGGGGGG